CAGAATGACAACATTGCTTATCAGTAACTCGTGCAACGTTCTAGACATTTAATAACAACCTGATTTAAGCAGCCAACCAACGTGTCAGCAATGGAGAACATTTTTCGCCAAAATGAGCCAACAAAATGAAGACGAATTCACACAGTCTTGGGGAAGCGGTTATTTGGATGTGTACGAAGGGTCACCGAAGTTTTCCAACTCTTCCGAGTTAAAAAGCACAGAACTCGAGCCACTCCACCTGTCCCGTGCCGTCCCGCTCGGCTTGGCTTTGGGGGCTTTCATCATCTTCGCGGTGGCTGGAAACATCTTGGTGATTTTGTCAGTAGTGTGCAATAGGCACCTGCGATCTCCAACTAATTATTTCATCGTTAATCTCGCTATTGCCGACTTGCACCTCAGCACAACTGTGTTACCCGTATCAGCAACATTGGAAATATTGGGTTACTGGGTGTTCGGGAGGATTTTCTGTGATGTTTGGGCAGCGGTTGATGTGTTATGTTGCACCGCATCCATCATGAGTCTGTGCGTAATCTCCATTGACCGTTATATCGGAGTGAGCCATCCGTTGCAATACCCCAACATCGTGACAGGACGCAGAGCTTTGCTGGCCATGCTGGGGGTTTGGGTCCTGTCTTTGGTCATCTCTATCGGACCCCTGCTAGGATGGAAGGAGCCTCCGTCACCGGACCACATGGTGTGCGTAATAACCGAGGAACCCTTTTATGCGCTCTTCTCATCGCTCGGCTCCTTCTATATTCCATTAATTGTTATTCTAGTCATGTACTGTCGTGTGTATGTAGTGGCTAAACGGACAACGAAGAATTTGGAAGCTGGTGTAAAGACGGAAACCATGAATTCAGGTGAAATAACGTTGAGGATTCACAGGGGTTCGCAGGTGCACGAGGACTCCGGCGCAGCAGGCAAAGGTCGCACGCATCAGAGGAGGAATTCTCTGACGGTCAAACTTCTGAGGTTTTCCAGGGAAAAAAAAGCAGCTAAGACCTTAGGGGTTGTGGTCGGCATGTTTACGTTGTGCTGGTTGCCATTCTTCCTCACTTTACCAATTGGTAGGTCTTTCTTAAACACAATTTGTCCCCCTCCCCCTTTCATGTTTTCACACTATATGGGGTATGTTGTCACAAAGAGAGCTGCAATTAAATAGCATATTATGGGACTTTTCAGGAAAATGATAATAAATGTAAAACTTACATTACAATGGTCTTAGCAGGTTTTAAGCTCGTCTCTTAGCCCGATCATCTAAAAACCAACTGGCATTTGACAGACAAGACCAGCAAATAATTTTAAGCAGGTTTTAAAGGCTTTCTTTCTTTCTTTCTGTAAAACAATAATGGAAACAAGAAAGCAGGAAAACAATAATTAAAACAATATGAATATTCTTGAAGCCTATACACAAATATTTCTAGAGAACACACCCAGCCACACACACACACACATACCCACAAATCATTATGCCAGTTTCACTAGTAGGAAAATGCCCAAAACGCCTTTAAAACTGGCCAACAGATCAGCTAGACCAGGCTTGGAGACCAGCTAACCAACTTACACTATCATTATATTATTTCAGTGTTAGAAGTGATAATAATACTTTTAGTTAAAATACAGACATTCTTAAAGTTCAAAATTCTTAATGACATCCTGCCCATCATTTCGTTTGCCCTTATACATCCTGATGCCTTATATATTGCATATGCCTGTCAATATTTGTTCTTATGTCACTACTTAAGATCTGTGAAAGGTTAGCAAACAGCAATTAAGATGAAACAATCCTCACAAGGAGTTAATTTAATCAAATTTAATGCTCAACAAATAATTAATCATTATAATTGCTCTACTGATTCCATGTCATGAGAGTTTGGTAAGATAAATAGAAACTTATAATAATTTAATTACATTTTGCTATACTATCCACAGGAACAACACAAAATACAGAACAATTAGGACTTTCCCATCCCAACATAATATAAAGTTGAAATAATAATAATAATAATAATAATAATAATATACATCTTATATACGCCTTCTTATAGATCTTTGTAACTTATACTCGTTTGGTCTTCATTCATGAATTCGTTTTTTTTTTTTTCAGCCAAGTCTCATGGTTTCCATGGTACTTTGAATGCAGTGGGTCAATGCACTAGGGCTGCAACTTTGAGGTTTCCACTTTATACACCAGGGATCTCAGTCTAAAGCAATTAATGGCACAGATCCACAGCTCTACCACTGAACTTTAATGAAAAAGGGGATAAAATAACTTTTCTACAAATCTTGCTAAATGTTATAATAAACAGAAGAAGCATTTCATATTCAGGTTATTAATTCACAACTGCTTCAGGCTTTCACACATTCATATATCAACTGGGCAAAAGGCCTGAATGATGATGTATTTAACTCTGCTTATTAGATAATCACTTGGATACTAAACCCAATGACTTTCATGTAGCTTATGAAAAAAAAAAAAAACCTATTGTTAATTTGGTTATAGATTAAGTGATTAAAAAATGTTTAGACTGAATATCAATTTGCACTTTGTTTGCATTATTATGTAAGTTTGTTTTGAGAACTGGTTGAAAGGATGTAAATAATTTTAGTTGCTAATAATTTTATAGAGATGTCAAAACATGTCTAAACAATCGGACACTTTGTGAAGTGACTGCATTTAATTTAATTATTAGAAATTCAGACAATTGTAAAATATTTAGAAATGTTATTTCAGAACACCAGTATAATGCATCACATGCCCTTTCTTCCAAGGTCCCTTCAAAGAAAAACAAAAATTATCTGTACGGTTTCAAAAGTTCACTATAGTATTAACTTAGATTATTTCATTAGTACATAGTGTTATCCCATAGGAATACAACACTTGGTATTTCGTTTTAAATTCACTTTTCTCGTTTTATTTCCAATACCTCAGTAAAATAAAAACAAATCAATTATTTACATAAAATCTAAAACATATATTAATTTAAACTTTTGTTTTTATGTTGACTTTGTTCTGTTTGTAAATGCTGTGCACATCTGGCATTCGGTAGATTTTTATTTTCAGTTTTAACACAAATTTGCAATAAGCAGAAAAATTGATAAACAAGCGTTGTTGCCACCTGCTGGATACTTAAGCAAATGACAGACCTTAAAAAAAAAAAACAGTTGTACCGACAGGGGGCACAGTCACAAACAATCACAAATCGTGGCAGCAGGGGGCGCACCAATCATGCAGTGTTATATGAGAGAAAAAAGGAAGCACACGTGTTATGGTTTGTTCAGGGCCCCACACAGCATCACAGAAAATTTAACATATAAGGTTTCTCAGGAATACACTTCATAGCTTAGACTTTCTCTAGAGATGGCCAAATTCACATTTTTTAAATTAAAAGTACTATGTAAATCTAGTTTGTAATCTGAATAACTCATAACATGATGTCACAATATTAATAATAAAACTCAACCTCACCCAATGTACTCTCTCTCTTTGCAGTCGCATTCAATGTCAGCCTGCGGCCTCCTGAAACCATCTTCAAAATCATCTTCTGGCTTGGTTACTTAAACAGCTGCCTGAATCCCATCATCTATCCCTGCTACAGCCGGGAGTTCAAGCTAGCTTTCATCCGCATCCTGAAATGCAGATGTCACCACAGGAGACAGCCAGGTTGGAGAGCGTACAACTACCAGGGCGCGCACATCAACTCCTACTCACGGCAGGACTCAAAGGACTCTGTGAACTATGGTAGTTACCTAAATGGGAGCCAGAGAACCCTGTCCTCTGCCAGCCCCAGCCCTAGTTATCATACCAAAGGCCTGTCGCATTTCCAGGAGGATGGACCCAGACATGCCCGGAGCAGGACACCTTCTATGTTATCTGAGAGTATTTTGGATCATCATCTTGAGCCTGTGGAGGAAGATCCAACCCAGTCTGTAGGCAATCCGGATCAGGCTGGTATCAGAAATTGGCCTCAAGAACAATTGAAAGAGTAGGAATGTCGAACTAGTGGCACAAGTCTTTTCTTTTTTTAATCACCTTAAGTATTTTCGTGGTCAAGAATAATACAAATAAATCATATTTCTTTTTAATCTAATATACAACCTGGCATTAGTGTACAGCAGTGTGAATACTTTGGCATTCTTTAACAAACACAACATTAATGCAATTTTGCTGAGCATTTTTCATTAATTTCCAATACTAAATAAGTTGTATAGTTGGTATTAAGATAATGTATACAGTAAACTTAAAAATTGTTCTTGCAAAACTAACTTTTTAACCAAAACTGACTTTTATCATAGATGATTAACATAAAGGACATTATACTGAATTTATGAGCAAAGGGAAGCTAATAAATTTAGCTAAAGGGTTAAGCTAATTTACTGGATTGAGAAAATAGTTCTCCCATCTCAAGAATCTCAGAGCAGATTATTTATTTATCATCAACAGATAAATTTCAGAGCCTCTTCACTGGATATAGACAATGCACTGTACATTTTATTTACATTCATTTTCATAAGCACCCATGTTCAAGAAAGGGGTTCTATCATTTTTGTTACAAAGTCAGGCAACTCAATTAAACTCCTTAGGAAAAGGTGAGAACCGGAGATCAGTTTTCTCAATACTGCCTTGAACATTTCACATGAGGAATGTAAAACAAGACTGCAAAAATACACATTTATACAACAGTCTTTGAACAGAATCAACCTTTGACAATCTCAAGCTGCAATACAAGAATTATTTGAATAGTGTAATTAGAAATGTCATGATCAGTTTACTGTCCAAATCACTCAAACACTGAATCCAAAGAAGAAACATAAATGTGTAAGTAAAAAATAAATAAATTACACTTAAGATTTAGTAACTGCAACCCAACATAAAAAGGCAAACAGAATATGAAAGAAAAATATTCATAATTTAACTGAATACACTTCCCATCCCCACCAGCAAAAGATCAGTTAATAGTACACTGACATTTAAAAAAAAAAAAAAGAACATGGCTCTGTTTTTATACACTGTACAGTTTTGTAAATACAATATTCCTCTGATTAAATCCTTCTATCTACTAATCTGAAGGCTTTTAATTTCCCCCACAACATTGTGTGAAAGGTCAGATCCCAGCACTGTTTTGTTTTTGTTTGTCTGTCTCTTCTGATGAAGATCTGAATTTGATAAAGATTCAGACTGTTGCAGCATCTGAAATGAAATTATAGCATGAACAATTTAAGAAAGGATATTTAATATAAATTGAATGATATGAAAAACTGAGAAGAACTATCAAAAAAATACTCACTCCTTAAACAACAAACTTATTCTTGGTGGTGGAACCACTTTTGGTGGCTGTGTCTGCATGTGACTGGTATCCAATGATGACTTTCGAAGGCACACCTAATCTTTCCTTATACACATGCCTGTGAATAGACAAAAAAATGTTACAAATTTACCGACAGATCCAAGAAGTAACATAAGGTTCGGGGTTAAGGCTGCTCTGTGCCTGCTGAAAATTCAGTGTTAAGGCACAATGCTGCATAAAAGCCAGACTAAATTATGCCTGCTCAGACCCACCTCAGTCGCTAGTTTCAACATATACAGTTGTAATTGCTGTGGAAATACATTTATTCCACCTCTGAGCAGCATTAAACAGTCTGGGTAAATAAATGCCACCTAAACACCACCTTTGCAGTGTAAAGTTGGCAATAATCTACCTAGTGCTTTACCTAATAACCACAAATTAAAAGAAAGCAAAAATTATAGTCACAATGAAATGCAAGTAGCAGCAGATCTTTTCTTCTGTATTATGACATACATCCAAGTGTAACAGATTATCGGAAAAGAAAAAAAAAACGTAGGGCTGGGACTTGGTTCTATGCATAGGTTGTTTACTGGATTTTGAGTTGTGGGCGTTGCACTCCAAAATCGAGGCAGATGAACACGAGCTTGAAGGAGCAAGATTTAAGTGGTCTACGTGGACTAAACGATTTTTACCCTATGTGTACAACAGCATCTTTGTTCTCGTAGTCTGTTGTCCATATTGCTATTTTGTCTCCCTTTGTTCGGATGTTGACGACAGCACCACAGACGTCGTCACTGTGGTCATCAAATGCTTCTCCCACAAGGCACAAAAGCTGGAAAACAAAACCAGAATTGAGAGAGAGAACATACCCTACTATCAATTTTGCAGCTAATGCAGTTACACCGACTGGACAGAGTATGGACTTACCGTCTCCAACCAGAAGCGGTCCAGGTCGGCTCTGCGCTGCTGTTTGGACAGGGTAATCAGCCAGCGGCCGCCCCGCTTGTTTCTCTCATCTTCCCACATGGGCTCAATGCCATCCTGCTCCAAAGAGAGCACACGGATCATTTTAGATGATTTCAACATTTTTGGCATAATGTTATAATGCTTTATTGTGGCTTACCTTGAAGAGGGAGTAGTCACATCCTGACATTAAGTTACTTGATAACTGAATGTGATTGTATAACCTGGGGAATCAAAACCTCTGTTAGTGCCAGTGTTGCTTACAACTCTCAGTCTGTTTATTTAATCAATGGCTGGTGAATCTATCATGCTGTCTGTGCTGTTTCAATTCTCTCATTAATACTTACGCCCAGAAGTCTTCCACTGTGTCAAACTTTGAGATGAGACGGAGATTAGCTTGCCATGTTTTGCTTTTGTCATTTTTAAAGAACCAAAGAGCCCATCTGCCAAAAGAAAAACCCTTGATAACTCTTCCAGATATTTAGCCAGATATTCCATATACAGTATCTCACAGAAGTGAGTACACCCCTCACTTTTTTGTAAATATTTATTTATATCTTTTCATGTGACAACACTGAAGAAATTACATTTTGCTACAATGTAAAGTAGTGAGTGTACAGCTTGTATAACAGTGTACATTTGCTGTCCCCTCAAAATAACTCAACACACAGCTATTAATGTCTAAACCGCTGGCCACAAAAGTGAGTACACCCCTAAGTGAAAATGTCCAAATTGGGCCCAATTAGCCATTTTCTCTCCCCGGTGTCATGTGACTCATTAGTGTTACAAGGTCTCAGGTGTGAATGGGGAGCAGGTGTGTTAAATTTGGTGTTAATCGTTTGAAATATGTGTCCCCTGGGTGGCTTTACCTGTTCTGCAGAGGATGTTTAATATAATCTTCAAGACTAACTATCTCTTGCTTATTTTCGTCTTTTTTTTCTTCTTCTGAATTTGATGGGTTTGTTGAAGTTTCCTACAGGTAAAGAACAGAACAATTTATTATATTTCCATTATTTTAATCTTATGTCTTGCAAGCTGAATGTGACATTTCAAAGAAAATGTCTATATATATATATATATATATATACACACACACACACACACACACACACAGAATAGGTCCTTGAGCTTTTTGACTCCAATGCCGTTGTCTGCAACAATATTCAATGGACTTTTCAATCAACCAGCTGTTCGTGATCTTGTCAATGATTTATTTTTTAAATATTTTTTAAAAATTTGTCTCACAATTTCTACTCAACAAACTATTTGTAGCTTTATATACACTATAAAAATGCAGATGGAGTTATCAAAATTAATTTACATGACTTTTCAAAGTCTACAAGTCACACTTTTGATTGCAAAGATACTATTTAAACTGAGCTGGATGTTGACATCACTGAATTCAATGATGAACTGTCTTTAACTGAAAAATTTGTGTTTACTATTGTCATTTTGCATTATTGACACACTATTTTCCTAATTAATGCTGTTCAGTTGCTTTGAGACAATCTGTATTGTTAAAAGCGCTATATAAATAAAGGTGACTTGATTTGACACTTTTAAAATGAGGCATCCTCATATTATCATATATTGTTTTGTCTTATTTTAAATCATTGTAAGTCATCTTTGAAGTTTGCTGAGGCCCCACTGTGTTAGAGTAAATGTTATAAAACAATTAAGCTGTATTTATTACTGGTGCTATTACTTTTACTAATGAAAAACTAATTTAAATGTGCTTTCCCCATTCCAATATATATAATCAGAACTATATAAAAACTATAAAAATAAATAAACAAATACATTAATTAATAAACAGACTGACGCCACCATTTTGGTTCTTCAGATTACGAAACTCTCAAAACCCTCTGAAAAAAAAAATTCTAGGCACCATTTCAATATTTGCTGCATACTCAAGGAACATTACATCTCAAGTCTTTTCTTTATGACAGAGTCACTGGAGGAACGATGGACATTCATGAAAGCTTTTGCACGAACGGATCCTTGTTAAAGTTTCTCGGAAAACTGCACTTTCTGAAAATGTACATAAAAGTTCTCCAAAGGCTGTTTGAGGAAATGGTGCCTCAAGTTTTTTTTTTTTATTATTATTATTTTTACAGTGACAAACATGTATGTTTAGAAATAAAAACAGATAATCTCGCAACCAAACAAGTAACTGTGTAAAATTCGACACACTGACTAAAGGTTCTTTACAAAACTTACTTTATTAACATTTGACCAAACTAAACATCTAACAATTCCGCTTATATCCTTGTTTACCTTTATCTTGTCTAAAAGATCAGATCAACGGTTTTGAGCTACATTAAGCGATGTGTCCATTCAAAGACTAAAAACAATCAATCACATTATCCATATTTTCAGTGACACATCAGCAAAACATGACTCTAGATTAACATACAGAAACAGATACGGTTTAACAACATGTTCAACTTTCAAAGAAAACATCAAATATTCTCACAGCCCCCCTCTTCAGATTACAAAATAATAATAATAATATAGAAAAACAAATATTTAACACTTTTGCACAATATCCTTCAAACACACATGTGCGACAGTCACACACGAGCTCATTTGACAGTCTGCTGTGAGAGATATCACTCCACAACATATCGATTCAGATTAGCTTTTATAAAAGCCGACCAAAATAAAACACGTGTTTAACAGAAATAACTACCACTGGTGTCATCACAATAATGTTTATAAGAGCACTTTTATTGACTAACCGGTTCAGCAGTCGCCATCTTCTACAAATGTGAAGGGTCTTTCCGTGTGTGAAAACACTATTTGATTGGCCCAACTCAACCGAACACATGCGTGTCAGAGTAGCACGCGTCTGGACAGCGACCCCTAGAGGACTCTGAGCGAAGAGGACTCCCGCCGTAAAAGCTTATGAATCATGTATGGCTGTTTCTCATTCATTAACACTCCACTGCCTGAGCAAAACCATCTAAGTGCTTTATTTATGCACATAAATGTAATGGATAACTAATATATATATATATATATATATATACACATACACACACACACACACACACATATATATTTATTTGTTTTTAACTGTGTATTTTTACATTTTGTATAACTGAAAGTAGAAGGTATCAGAGAAAATACTATTTTAAAATCATAATTCTAACATTATGTAATCAACTGGAATGTTTTGAACATGCTGATATTAATCAAATTATTAATCAAATTGGTCAATTTATATGGTTCTAAATGTTCAAATTGTATAATGTACAACAGAATATACTAAGCCACTAATATTGCAACATTTTGACTTTTTAAAAAAGAAAAGAAAAAAAAAAAAGGAAACACAGAATGCTCTGTGTTTGGTAATCAAATTTATTCAGTGTGTAACTGGAACTCTACACACAAATAACCATTATCAGAACAACCTCTAACACAAAGGTCAACAGTAACTACTGAGACAAGGGTGTTCAGGATTAGTTTGTTTCATGGCATGACAAGGCAGTTAGGACATGAGTTTGACTTTGAGTTTGTTTGAACTCGAGGCTCAAAGCTGCAGGACAGTTCGGATACTGTGGAAGACACAAAAATTGCATTTAGAAATCAATTTGTTACCCACATTGCATAAATATAATATTACAAAAAACACCAGATAAAAACAGGCATGTTATAATGTATGTACCTCTTCCCAGCATGCATCAGGTCAAAGGCCTCATTGATCTGGGCAAAGGGCAATGTGTGAGTAACAAACTCATCCACCATCAGCTTCTTACTCATGTAGTCATTCACTAGCTTAGGGACACTCTCCACACTCTTCCATCCTGAAAGACAAAGAGAACATCCTTCTCTTATGAAGCGAATTGCCCCGCATATCATATTGATATGCTATATGCTATTTGTAAATGGTAACATTCTATAATACCAATAATTCTATAATAAAATAATAATAATAATAATAATAGACACAAAATAAAAATAAAACAATAATACAATAAGATTATAAAATAAAGTAATAAAACAAATTATAAATAAATACTAAAAATGCTGCATTATGAAATATAAAAATAATAAAATGAAAAACAAAACAATACATTTTTATAAAAAATACATATAATAAAAGTGATAAAAAATAAAATAAAAAATAAATACAATAAAATACCCACCACCAAAAGCTGTGCCTTTCCATGTACGTCCTGTGACCAGCTGAAAGGGGCGAGTGGATATTTCTTGCCCTGCTCCTGCCACACCAATGATGACACTGGTTCCCCAGCCTTTGTGACAAGCCTCAAGAGCAGCTCTCTGAAATTAAAACATGATAACGATAATGGTCATCCTGAACCTAAGCTGTATAAAACAATAGTGCAATTATGCACTTCACATTAGTACAAATAGTGATAATTATTTTGGCTCTAATTTTGAGTTACCATGGAAGCAGATATTCTGTGGAACAATGACGACTCTAACACAGCTGGGTGGCTGTATTAGCCAGCTTTTGTTCAACCCTAACTAAATGGCTGATGTTTCTGCAGCTCACCATAATGCCAACATTGCCAATGCATTCGAAGGAGTAGTCAACACCTCCATCTGTCAGCTCCACCAGCACTTCCTGAATGGGCTTGCTGTGGTCCTTAGGGTTCACAAACTCAGTGGCTCCAAACGTCTTGGCAATTTCAAACTTGTCTGGGTTGATGTCAATGCCAATGATCCTGGTGGCGCCGGCTGACTTGCAGCCCATTATGACTGCAAGCCCCACTGCTCCCAAACCGAACACAGCACATGTAGAGCCGGCCTCAACCTGCCAGGGTGAATACAAGTTCATGTGACATTTTGAGGCAGCAGGAAATATTCAAATATAAAGAAATACTCATTAATTAAACAAAACAGACCTTAGCCGTATTGATGGCAGCTCCATATCCAGTGGAGATGCCACAGCCCAGCAGACACACTTTGTCCAGGGGGGCATTTTCATCCACTTTGGCCAGAGAGATTTCAGACACCACGGTGTATTCAGAAAAGGTGCTGGTACCCATGAAGTGGAAAAGCTGCTTTCCTTTACAGGTGAACCTGGAGGTCTTATCAGGCATCAGACCCTGACCTTGGGTCACCCTAAAAATAAATTACATTACAACTAAGTATCTACAAACCAAACTATTTCAGTTAGCATTAACGATAAAAAGACCTACGCTACCCTTCAAAAGTTTGGGGTTGGTCTCTTATGCTCACCAAGGCTGCATTTATTTAATCAAAAAGACAGTAAAAACAGTAATATTTTGAAATATTAATTAAAAAAAATATTTTTTCTATTTTAATATATTTTAAAATTTAATTTATTCCGGTGAGGCAAAGCTGAATTTTCACCAGTCATTACTCCAGTCTTCAGTGTCCCATAATACTTCAGAAATCCTTTTAATACACTGATTTGGTGCTCAAAAAGAAAAAAACAAATTTTTTTTCAATATTGAAAACAGTTTTTTTTTTCAGGTTTCTTTGATGAATTGAAAGTTCAAAAGAACAACATTACTTAAAATAGCTTAAATAGTTTTCTGTCTTTTTTCTTCTAAGTCTTCTGATTTTTTTTTTTGTTATTTTTGCAATTTAATGTGTTATTGCTGAATAAATGTATAATTTCTTCCTAAAAAAATTAAATCTTACTGACCCCAACTTTTTAACAGTAGTGTATTTTCACTACTAAAGGAAAAATGACAATTAATTTATTTTCATAATTACCTGATTTTCTGACACAGGTTGGTTTTAGGATTTTTACAAAACTTGCACTCTCCACATTGGGGTACATACAGCGGAATAACAGTATCACCTTCAACAAAAAAAGTGAAAGAGCTTCAAGATTTCTGCATAACACCCAAAACTGCTCACATTTTACACATTAAATGTCATTCACGTGAGGGTAAATAGTCCATTTTGACATGCCTGGTTTGAATTTGGTGACCCCTTCGCCAACACTCTCAACAGTGCCTGCCCCCTCATGACCCAGGATGACAGGAAACAAGCCCTCAGGGTCACTCCCACTCAGAGTGTAGGCATCAGTGTGACACACACCTGTAGCATGAATCTAAAACATACAACTATGAAGACTTCTCACAGTTACAGATTTTGAACAGCTATGCATTTATAAATGACTTGATTGATTGTTTAATTATTTTAATAAAGAACACAAACAGGCTTCTGCATAATCATGCTCAAGACAAGACTGCAGGGTCAAAACTGAACACCTGCCCGGTGTAAATCTGTCACAGAACATGGTGCTTTGACAGGGTGCAGCTGCAAGCTGGTTTGTTACAGCTTTAGTAGAGCCGGTGCAATTATACTGAACAAAATTATAAACGCAACACTTGCATTTTTTGCCCCCATTTTTAGTAAAACTGCACATTTTAGAGTGGCCTTTTATTGTGGCCAGCCTAAGGCACACCTGTGAGGTGGATGGATTATCTCGGCAAAGGAGAAGTGCTCACTAACACAGATTTAGACAGATTTGTGAACAATATTTGAGAGAAATAGGCCTTTTGTGTACATAGAAAACGTCTTAGATCTTTGACTTCAGCTCATGAAAAATGGGGGCAAAAATAAGTGTTGCGTTTATAATTTTGTTCAGTGTAGAAAGTGAAATCGTGACTCTATCAGTTATGAAAACATGTCATAATACTCTGATATGTCACTTTAAAATGTTAAAAACAAAGGTTTTATGGAGCACCAAAGTACTCTGTGTTATCTACAATTTATCCACATCAAATAACCTATTGCTTTTGTCAAAAGGTACAATGTTCAGATTAATGGTTTACCTTCACTCGAACTTCATGGGCTTTAGGTGGAGCTACTTCCACCTCTTCAACGGAAAGAGGCTTACCAGCCTCCCAGGCCACTGCTGCCTTGCACTTGATCACCTGAGGATGAATCGAGAAGATTTCAGTCCATAAATCCTCTTAGAAGAATTGTTTTGGTAACTCATTTTCCCATAAAATGAAGGTTATGTAAGCCACTGCTCTGGATGATGTTATGCAGATACAGTGCAGTTTGAGATGCAATTAGACGCACAAAACCATGTGATTTTTAATACATTTCATGTACAGTATAGCAAAATCGACCCAGTATATAGTGAATCTCTATTTATATGCTGTAATAAATCAATGCTGAAAGCTCGTTGAATGCAACAATAACGAGATCAGACTAACATGTTTCTGATCTTTTACGCATGCATTGTCACATATCTGAAAACAGAAAACAAGGGCAACGGAAAACAGGTCAAAGCAGCACAATGGATCTTTGTATACCAAGATCTGCACTCCTGTATTGCACAAGTGCTGTTACATATTTGAACCCGTTTTTGATTGAAGGTCTTGGCGCTCGAGGTTTTTCACAAATAGTGCAAAATTACGAACATTAAAAGCGCCCAAATGCACACTGTAAATACTTCACGTAGTTCAAAGGGTGAGGGCAAATTTCGCTGCCAACTTACTTTCCCAGTTGTGTCCATGCTTTTCTTCCACCACGAGAGGAAGGAAAGGAGGGGTGGGGCAAACTGAAGAACTCTTTCTTCAACCAATGAGAGACCAGGATGTGGCTACGCTTGAGCAAAGTTCGTTGTTTTTCTCAGCGAAAGCAGCGCTTTTCCATTTTATTGGATTGTTGCTAAACGATTAATCTTTTGAATTGTAAACAATGAATCAAAGAGCAGCTTTCCCTGCAACTAGAAATTGGGTGTCAAAGCATTTCTGATGCCTGTATACTGTAAATATGTAATAAGTTATGTCTGGAAATGGAACTTTAGGTCATGTGGTCTTTCAATGTCCACATGCATAACTATCAGCACCGTTTCGGTAGTTGAAATAGGCTGGTGTATTTGTATTATATAATAATCACAAAATCAATTAGGAACTGTGGAATATACAGTGACCAAAATGCCATCCTTTAATATCTGAAATGTTGTCACTTGTCTATTTATCAGCATCTTCAAAAATGTATAATTGTTATTTTAAACTGTAGTCAGTGACATATTGTTTTTCCAAGAATAGTAATTTTCCAAGGCTGTCTGGTTCTGCACTGAGGATCTGGAAAAAACCCCGACTAAACACTTTGTCCAGCTGTTGATAACACTACACATTGCTTTTTTATAAACCGTCTCTGACAGCTTTGCAGAATCAGGAATCTCCCCCATTCAAAGTGGCTGTAACAACCCAGTATCTACCCTTGAGCAATAGCAGATTCTTTTGGAATTTGTGAACAAACATGTTGGCAAATCACAGTAGATTTAGTAAAAACAAGTTGACCAAGTTAATCTACAGTAATACCATCGGGGTTTTTTTTGCAAGTCCATGGTGGCATCTGGAGTTCAAATGAAACAAATTGCAATTCTGTAAATGCAAATATCCATTATAATCCAACAATGTTTTTTACATTATTATTATTAGTAGTATCTGTGGAGTTGGCTTTACCATTGTGTCACACTACATAACCTTGATGTTGCTCAAGTCTATACTGGTCCAGCTGTCAGTGGATGCAAACCAACCAGTCAAGGTTATGGAGACACCTGCCCTCTTTGAACACAGGGATGTGGTAACTTAAAACCTCAGCCCTATTAGTATACCAAATAAAAAAATCTACTGCAGAAAAATACACATATGGTACAAAACAAAGTAAAAAGTTCAGCTGTACAAGAGCGGCATCAATTAACAGTCCAAATGCTGCTTCGGGCTTCTCACTGGAAGTCTCCCCAGCAGAAGGAAGGTCACATCCCATACTGTGAGACCTTCATCATCTTCCACCTGCAAAGCAAGTAAGAAAAATTTGACTTGTTTCTCTTACTACAATGAAGATGTTTTAATTGAATGAAAAATACAGATCAGTAGGGCTGGGCGATATGGCCCAAAAAAAATTATCACGCTATTTTTTTTTCATATCAGTCGATATCGATAATTATCACGATAAATGTCAAATCTTTATTTCTTTCAAGTTTAAAGCCAGATTTTTGCTCCAAAATGAAAGTTGTAGAAACCAGACCATTAATTTTCCTTAACAAAATAAATATCTAAATAGAAAAATGTATTTCTTAGTTTCTGCATGTTCTAATGAGTGATATTGTTTCAAATCAAGAAACAGATTTGGGTTGACTGATAATATTAATAATAACATCACTTTTTTGTCTCTTAGAAATGCACATTTGATAGTAGCTTGAGTTAGGATGCAGAGGTAAATATTTGTTCATTATTAAAATCAGTAACAATTGTAGCAACCTCAGTTTTATAAGGTTACATTTATTCTGATTAAGCATTGGTCTCCCATAGTAGCATACATTTAAATCATGATAAACAGTTAAAACCATGGTACAACTATAACTATATGTTTTTTTTAGGTAGCCTATTTGTATGAAAAACAGTAGTCTAAAAACATTCAGTATAAATGCACACATGCTATAGCTTAATCTATACTATACTATAATTACCATAACTCCTGTATAAAAAATTCAGTGTGAATATCCCAAGTTTCTGCCACAATGCCTTGGTGCAGTGAGTGTTACTACAGTAAATCCATGGTAAATGATGGTGATGTGTAGATCGAAAAGCCTTCTGACTGTCTTGTTGCACACAGTGTTTCTCCTGTTTGGCTTTAAACTAGTTTAAATCACCGAGTCATGTGTGTTCATCGCTGAGTTCAAACGCTTCACACTGGATCTCACAACGCTACTTAATGCTCGTGTGACGGAGTAAACGCATCTGTATGGGATCATCTGATCCCATACGTTCACTTCAGAAATTAACTAAGTTGCATCGATGAGTTTGAAGTACGGTGTTTGACAAAACAGAGCAAATGGAAAGAGAAAGCACAATCGATGGCTATTATTAGCTCCCTATATAAAGCATACAGACAGAAAAAGGTTGTGCGGAAAGATACACTATTTCTTAGTTTCTGCATGTTCTAATGAGTGATATTGTTTCAAATCAAGAAACAGATTTGGGTTGACTGATAATATTAATAATAACATCACTTTTTTGTCTCTTAGAAATGCACATTTGATAGTAGCTTGAGTTAGGATGCAGAGGTAAATATTTGTTCATTATTAAAATCAGTAACAATTGTAGCAACCTCAGTTTTATAAGGTTACATTTATTCTGATTAAGCATTGGTCTCCCATAGTAGCATACATTTAAATCATGATAAACAGTTAAAACCATGGTACAACTATAACTATATGTTTTTTTTAGGTAGCCTATTTGTATGAAAAACAGTAGTCTAAAAACATTCAGTATAAATGCACACATGCTATAGCTTAAT